TTGGCCACTTTTTCACCACTGATGTTTAATTCTCCTCTTGCAGTCTCCTGGGGTACTGACACCACATATCTCAGGAGGCTGCAGAAGGAGAATTATTTCCATCCAGCAAGATCTGTGATGTCACATATCCCAGGAGACCTTACTATCCTCCTTTCACAGAACCCGGTAATAGACCCGGTGCCAGATCTCTGTCTCTGCATGTGCATGAGATCTGGAGCTGCAACACTGGGGGTCCAGCTGAATGGCCAGGAAGATAAAGCTGGCTCCTCATGATGTCCACAAGCATGATGGCAGCATGGGACAGGATCTGTGGGAGGACAGCAGGGCGAGAGGAGAAGACAAGGCTGGCTCCCTTAGGCATGTACTGTATGTATGTGGTTACAGCAAGAAGAGCACCAAAGGTAAGTGAGTAAGTCTTTTTCCCCACTTACCTTTGGTGCTAATTTTATGCTGCAATTATATACTTACAGCATTGTCCTGTTGTCCTGCACCGCTCTCCTACTACAGGTCCCGTCCCATGCAGCCGCCATCTTCCTTTTTTATGTCATGGACAACTGGCTGACTCTAACTGCTTCTTACAGCTGCCCACCAATGGTGCGTTGCTAGATCTCACGCATACACAGACAGATATCTGTTTATATGTTGTTATATGAAGGGTGGAGAGTAACGCCTCTTGAGTTACTAATGTAATCTATACCAGGAGGCATTACTTTCCTCTATTCAGAGAGCAACATATAAACAGACACAGCGCCAGATCTATTTATGCACATGTGCGAGATCTGAAGCCGCGTCTGTTTATATGAATAGTGGAAAGTAATACCTCCTGGCATTTGTGACATCGATATCCCAGGAGGCTACAGGAGGAGACTGAAACGTCATTCTCATGTGGAGGGGGGAGGATTGAATGCTGCAAAGCTTTATTATTGAGTGATGGTCCGCTTTAAGTAGATTTTCATTATCTGCCCAGTGTGCCCAGATATGTGGCAGTCTTTAACTAGTGGAACTTTGGCAGGCCATACATTGTTTCAGCTGTTTCACAAAGTGTGACCCAGCTGGCTTGACAAAAGTAAATTTATCGATCCACTTTTGTCCAAAGACCTGGGCCAAAAATCAATCAGCTGTGGTCACTGTTAATGTATTCTGACAATGGCAGACGGCAGTTGTCAGAATACAAAAGCCGCAGTGGGAGATTCGTCCATTTACAATCAATAAACTCAGCCAATATCTTTTTGTTATTGCTGATTAGAAACTAAAACAGTTAATCTTATTACTGATATAGACCATCACAACCAGGCAACTGTGGTAGACTTTCCTGTTCAAAAGTAAACAAAATTTAACTCCAAACTGAATGACTAAGGGGTCTATTTATAAATATCCCACCAAATGCACGGTATTCCCGCCACTAGATGGAGCCCTGTCTTACAGAAGACAGTGTAAGTACACCTGCAATGTAGAGGCATGGCACTAGCTATCTAAACATACAGTATTTGTATCTTTCTGGCTTAAAAAGCTCCCATTCACACCTGAGTGTTGTGCCATGTTTCGCTAAGCACGACAATGCTCAACATGAAGAATCCCATCATTTTCAGAGGTGCCACGTTCACACCTTTGCATTGTGTCACTTGTCACTTGTAGCTCAAAAAAAGCTTTTTTTGAAGGTAAAAATACTATAGATTTCAATGAAGTGTCTGAAAATCCAGCGTATAATTACTCGTCCTATCAAATGTCTCCTCCTAGTAATTAGCTTTCCATTGGTTAAAACAAAAACACTTAACAAAAAAAAATAGGCCAAAACTTTTTTTTCGTTTTGGATAGCGTAAGGCAGGGTTATAACCCCTGTCAGACTTTTTTGCCATTTGTGTCCCATTAGGGGAAGGAAGTGAGAGGAAGTGCCTTCATAGTGAGGTCCTATTGGGACAGGGAGTGAGAGGAAATTCCTTCCAAGAGAGATCCGATTGGGACAGGAAGTTAGAGGAGATTCCTCCAAAGAGAGGTCCCTTTGGGACAGGGAGTGAGAGGAAATTCCTCCCAAGAGAGGTCCCATTGAGACAGGGAATGAGAGGAAATTCCTCCCAAGAGAGGTCCAATTGGGACAGGGAGTGAGAGGAAATTCCTCCCAAGAGAGGTTCTATTGGGACAGGAAGTTAGAGGAGATTCCTCCAAAGAGAGGTCCCATTGGGACAGGGAGTGAGAGGAAATTCCTCCCAAGAGAGGTTTTATTGGGACAGGAAGTTAGAGGAGATTCCTCCCAAGAGAGGTCCCATTGAGACAGGGAATGAGAGGAAATTCCTCCCAAGAGAGGTCCAATTGGGACAGGGAGTGAGAGGAAATTCCTCCCAAGAGAGGTTCTATTGGGACAGGAAGTTAGAGGAGATTCCTCCAAAGAGAGGTCCTGTTGGGACAGAAGTTAGACAACATCCCTCCAAAGATAGGTCCTGTTGAGACAGTAAGTAAGAGGAAATCCCTTCAAAGGAAGGGAGCTCTCTAGTGATCAGCAGTGTCACCAGAATTAGTGTCCCCACTGGAAAGTTTCCCATCTGTTCCTGTTCCAAATATGGGATCGTCTTACACTTTCAGTGATAACATTCACCAGGACAAATAGAGGAGGTGCTTCTCCTTAACCAGGACACAGCAATAAAAACCTGACATGTTCTAGTCCCTCTCCCCTCTGAAAACGAAAAAAAAAAAAGTGTTGGTTTAAGTTGCACCTTAAGCTGAAATGCGCCGGAAAAAGGCTTAAAAAACACTTGACTGTCAACTGAAATCTCTCAAACTGAATGAGATGAATGAGCGAATGGTGTGAAATACATATCTTGTAATTAAAATGCTGCTCCATGACACAGACTGGTGTATCTGTGTGTCCAAGTTGAACCATCCAGGGAGGGGGCAGCTGGGAGGGCTGAGGAATGTCAGGGCCTGACTGTCACCGAGTGTGCGATCTATTAATAATCGCAGGGAGCTTTGGCTTCAGACACACACTAGAAATACTCCATGGAAGTGCCAAGGGAGCAGAAGTGAGCGACCAGGCTTGCACAGAGCCATACACAGCCTCCAGACCTGGTGAGTTATGGGTGACAATGGGGTTTCATTATTTCCACAAACTAAAGGCAGCTCATAGGACCTCTCCAGCAATGCAGCTTTATCACCGCTGTCACATTACTTGTTGGCTGGGCAATTTTGCAAAGCAGCATTACATAATCGCTGAGGGTAAACATGTCCTGAAGAAATCTGACGCTGGAGAGTGGCGGTTTGTACTGAATAAGGCGAAGCACCTCATTTATTATCCACCACATTCTGGAAAATATTTAGTTTTTGATGAGGATCCGTGAACGGCGGCTTTGTTTGGTGGTGCCCAGTGTCTGTGTGTTTAGAAACTTGTAGGGGAAATTTGTATTTATTTAGAAAGTATAACCAGACAGGTAATTCAGACGGGGCGTAAAGGAATGATCCGCATGCCTCCATCCACTATCCTAAAATGAGGAATAACCTTGTTTTGGGGATTTACGATGGAGGCGAGATGTGTAGATACCTTTGGTCAAGGGGTTCTCCTGTGATTCACATTTGTTTATTTAAATAGACGGTATATATGCACCAGGGCTTAAAAAAGTTAAAGCTGGGCACAAAATCTTTCATTCAAATAACTCCTGGAAAAATCAAAAATTTCCCTTGCAGTGGGTCTGCCCATGCACTGCAAGGGTTAAAAGTTTGTTTTGTCTAAGGGCTCAAATAAAGCAGATATACTCACCTAATCCTCAGTCCCTCCAGCTCCCTCCAGGCTGCTAGACCGGTCCCCACAGCCTCTGCTCCCCTGGGTTCAGGTGGACTAAGAACCAGTGATGTCATCACGTCTTATGCAGCTCTATTGACCTACATTAGACGTGAGGACACAGAGGGACATTCCATAGCCAGAGAGAAGGGCAAGAGAGGAGAGTGCTGACCGCTGCAGGACCGAGGATTAGGTCCTTTATGTGAGCCCCCTAGACAAAACAAGCACTTAACTCTTGCAGTGCAGGGGTAGTTTCACTGCAAGGGTAAGTTTTTGATTTTCCTGGAATTCTTCTTTAAATATATTCCTCAATAGCCACAAAGGGTATACATTATTATTATAATACAGGATTTATATAGTGCCAACAGTTTGCGCAGCACTTTACAAAACTGAGGGAGACAATACAATTAACAATTGCCCTCAGGGGCAGGGCCATCTTGTCTTGAATTGTATTGTGAATGTAATGTCTTCCTTATATTGTAAAGCGTTGCGCAAACTGTTGGCACTATATAAATCCTGTATAATAATAATAATACAATTTCAGTACAGAAGGTAGGAGGGCCACTTTGTCCCTTTGTGTACACCAAATGCCTTTGCAAACCCAGATAATGCTTTGTAAACGTAAAAGCGACATCATCACTGTACTTGCACATAGCCTGAGCAGAGCTGTGGGAGGGGCCCAGCAGGCTCCACCCACTACAGGAGGGGGATGGAGACAAGACCAGTCACCCTGAACAAGGAGAGAGAGCAGCAGTGACTGGTCTTTATTACAGGAAGCTCCTGCACAGAGGTAAAGCCTCACACTGGATTACTGCAGAGATCTGGAAAAAATACACAATGTACACCAAGATTCCAGAAATTATTATTTGCTTATATTGGAGTTCAACTTAAACTACAGCTATTTCATTTTGGATAAGACCAGGAAGGCTTACATCTTCTGTTAGATTTTTTTTTAATAATAAAAATGCTTTTTTCAAACATTGCAAATGGTATATATATCTGCAAGGGTGTTCCTATGCTTTTCCCCGCCTAAGGCGGAGGTTCGGTTGAGGTGTGCTGGTGGTGCAGGACCCAAGGTAAAGGGGGTGTTGGTAAAGGGGATCGTTGGCAGTACACATTACACCCAACTGCATATGTGGACTTCCCACAAGATTATACTGCATTTATAATTTTTTATGCATGGCATTTACTGGTAATAGCCTGCCATTTGTAGTCATCTAAAAGCCCCGAGACTGCTGCTGGGTGCCGCCATCTTGGATGTGATGTCAGCAGTCCCAGCAGACTCAGAGCTGTCACTCAAATGACACCCTATAGCAAGGATAGGCAAACTCTGGCCCGCCAGCTGCTGTGGAACTACAAATGCCATGAGGCATTGCAAGGTTCTGACTGCCACATACATGACTCCAAGAGGCAGATGCATGGTGGGATTTGTAGTTTCACTACAGCTGGAGGAAAAGAGTTTGCCTACCCCTGCTCTATAGTAATCCCCTTCACTCCTCCCCTGGCTTCTACATGGAAGGATAAATAGGGAGGTGGTGGAGGAGCTGGGCCAGGCCAGACTAATTCTCCGCTCCCAGAAGAGGAGAGAGCTATGATACAGGAGGAAGAAAGGGGCTGTGCTAGGCAACTGACTCTTCCTGAAGTAAAATTAACAAACAAGTTTAAAAGAATGTTGCAATTAAATAAAAAAAAATGTTTATGGAAAGAAAACATGCTGCAAAAAATGCAATTAAAATACGCAATTTCCTGAGTTGTTTGGCCCCTTTCACCCGGGCTGATCAGAGCAGTATGACGATGACAATGCCATCTGTGTCTGTCCAGTTTTTGATGGAGGAAACAACTGAAATTACCGGACCCATTTTGGTCTATGGGGAGTCGGATGTAAACGTCGGAGTCGGATGATACGTTACGCAGATTACCCCCAATCCGCTACGATCAGATCTGTTGAAACAGAACCATGATCATTTTTTCCAGACCTGGTCAGAACCGGGGGTAACCAGATGTTAACGGATGCCCATCTGTTTAGATCTAGGTGCCCATAGAGTAATATTGGGTTTATGAATGGCAAGTCCATCAGTATGCTGCTAATAAACCTCCCAGCAATTCCGCTAATTTCTGTCTCATATTTCCCTTTTCCAATCCAAATGTTTTTATTGATGAGTCAGCAACACAAGTAACAACAATGATAGCTGTCATTTGATACAAAATGAAGATGCATAATGAGCACATAAAGCAGATCCATAAGAGGAAGGTCCACACTCTTCCTGTATAGTGTAAAACACGTGAAGCACAAAAACAAATGGTAATGTAACATCTCAGATAGGAGTAGCATGGGTATCCCCCACTGTATCAACCACTACATTTCTCAACACAATGCCTTAACTTCATAAGAAGGGGGGTGGCACACAGACATCACACTATTCAGAGGTATTGTAGTCAGTTAGTAAGAAACAGAAAGACTAGGGAAACAGGAAGGACTAGGGGAATTCCGGGTACAGAGGGAAAAAGCAAGGTTCTAGAACCAAGGCAGAAAGGAAGAAACCTGCACATGGTCAAGGTACCGGAGAAGGGTTGAGAGGGACGGCCAGAAGGATAAGAGCCCAGTACCTCCTGGCCCTCTATGCGTCTATGCGCTAGTCTCAGGTGCCAGGTGGAACAGGGGTACCCTCCTCAGGTCTGGGTATCTCCGGGAGCATTGTGGTCCGGGAGCATTGTGGTGAGATAGTACTCGGATTCCCTGAGGAAGAGCCAAGTCCTCCAGGTGTCGAAGAACAGGCCCTCTGTATTGTGCAATGTAGAGGTCAGATCCTCCCTTATTGCTCTTTTCACAGCATGCACGGATTACCATAAAACAATGGAACATTTTTGCAAATCACATATTGTACGACTATCTGTAGACTCAGCAAGCAGAGGATAAGGGCTAATTCCACTCCAAGCTAGAAAGAAGTTTTATCACTAGAACAAGCACTAATGGGAAATACATGGCCTCTCCTCCCTATCCTGTACACAAGAAAGACGGGCTGATTCTGGAACGTATTTGTACCCATCACTCATCTTTACCGATTAAGCCTGACACAGTGTGAAGGACTGCGAGTGGATATCACTCAATGGGCCTTTGTGTCAAGCTTTAGTTCTTTTATATTGCACAAAATTTATTAAATGGATTGTGAAATTGTCATGTATTGGATTACTGCTTTGGCTCCCTATCTGCAGCATGAAAGATTCATCAGAGTTGTTTCTAAAGATGAGGTTTTTTTTTCCAAGCTAACAATTTACCTGGAGTTCAGTTCAGTCTTATATCTCCTGGGTTATTGTTTTTTTTATTATTATTATTCCCTTGATCTAAAAAAACAAAACAGAAGATAGAAGACTGAACTGAACTCCAGGTAAATGGATAATCTTTTTGTATTGGGGCAGAGTTGCCAGCTATCCAATAATGTTCAGATAGTCTGTTATACAGGGTGTTTCTATGTATTATGGATTAAGTTCCTGAAAATAATATTGATAAAAAAAGAAAAAAAATACCCTTGTAGCGGACTTCCCCACAGTGCAAGTGTTAATTGCTTGTTAAGTATAGGGGTAGAGCAATAACGTGTAATACTTTCCTTATACCTCGCATTTGGCAGGCTACCTACATCTGTACGACTGGTCCATTGAAGGTTCCTCCATATGGCGCTCTGGCCGTGTGTGTGTGTGTGTAAGCCTTCTGGTCCAGGTAATTTTTGGACCTATTTTGACTAACTGTTTCTGGGCCATATCAATTTTAAGGATTGTATTTTTTTTAGATTGTGTTCATCTAAACCAGTAATTTTGTACATCAGGTTCACTGCTTTCATTTCTATAAATAGTGCCAGGACCGTCCCTATAATGAGACAATCTGAAGCTGTTGCCTCTGGCGGCATCTTTTGGGTCATGTGTGCCTGCCGCCCCCTTCCCAGCCAGAGCGTTCCAGGTTTATAAGGGTCAGACGGAGAGATTACATCCAGCCAGGTTCCTGGCAACCAGTGATGTCACCACCAGAGCATCCCAGATTGCTAAGAGCTGGGCGTGAAGATGCAGAGCCCTTACACATCTCCCCACCCAGCTCTCCACCAGCACACACCCCCCTCCCCCCCTCCACTGATTGTGCACCATCCAGCACCCGCCAACCCCACCGCCGGCTTCCCAGCCAGTCAGAAATTCAGGCGGCTAATGACCCGCTTCCTGGTTGGGCGGGAAGCCAGCTCAATGCCGGGATACCGGCAAATCAGCATTAGGCTGGCCAAAGAGCATGGAGCGGGCTTCTCAAGCAATC